AGTCCTGCAGGTGTCATCCGCCGCGCCTGGGCGGGGACCGGGGCGGCCCAGCAATAATCACACTTGTCCGGGCCACGGGCAGCCTGCGTGGCTCTGCTGAGGCATTCATGCACCACTTAGTCGCTAATTACCGCGCCGAAGCAAGAATGCCGCGAGGAAGTTTTGTTCAGCTCATGCACTGACACAGTAGCCTCTGTCAGTGCTTTTGAGAAGTACATGTCGCTGTAGAAGGTGTGGAATAAACGCCTTCCGTTTGAAACGATTTTCCTAATGTTTTTGACTTTTTCCCCCCTAGCCCTCTTAGGCTAGGTCTAATGGATCACTTAGTTTTGTTAGAGGCAGTTTCGTCTGAGAAAAAAGTGCAAACAAGCATCCTGTAGTGGAAGCTGGTTGAGGTCTTGGTAAAACTTGTATAGGAAAAAGGAAGTGTGATGGAAATTGAGCTAATCCATAGGTATTAGTGGAGGTTGTACTTGCTGGAATGTGTAGCAAGGGCTCAAGTGAAAAATAAGTAGCTCCAGGTTGACATTCTTAAGTCCTTTAAGTGGACTTAGGAAAACTTGACTGTCTTGCCAGAGTTCTGACCAAAGATTAGCGGCAATTCGTAAAGGAGACACCCTTCTTCAGAGAGGGAAATATTTGGAGCAGCTAAAGATTTGCCTCAGAATATGTGAGAAACTCCCAAATATGTTAACAGGATATGCTGAACTCTTCATCTATGTGAATGTCTGTGTTGGTATATTCATTCAGTCTTTAATTTTAGCATGTAAAGTCTGTCGTAGTCAGACTGCCTAATCAAAAGTTACAGAGTGGGAAAATCTGTAGGACCCAAAGCTTATATACTTAAGCTTGATTGATTCAGGACGTGTTATTGCTCATACATCTATGAGTAGAAATGGGAACTTCTGCATGGGAGAACAGAAAAACACAGATTCTGGAGTATGATGAGATATTTCAAGATGAGATACTTGGAAATAGGAAAGAGGGCATAGATACAAGCTCAGGAGTTTGCAAGGTAGTGTAAGAGGCAATACCATCATTGTCTTCTGAGATTAGAAGTCATGAACAGCAGAGGTCCATTCCCAGATGTTTGTATAAATTAAACAGAAACAGGGATCTGAATGAGAAATGAGGTGCATCATAAGAATTAAAAGATCAGTGCTGTTCAAACATCTGCTTGATAATGAATCACAGCAACAGTGAGCTTGTGGCTCTGTCCCTCCTTTCGATTGTGAGTTGGTTCTGTATGAATGATTTCACAGTACATACTCCTCCTCATTCTACAGATTTGCAGACATACTGTATTCTTGGTGACAATTATTTTTATCCTGTTGACTTTTCTCCCAAGCTACTTTTATGCTTCCATACTAGAGTTCATTGTCGAGTTGGAAGAAGAAATTCAAACTCACCTTGAGGCATTTTCTATACCTTTACTTGTCATGTGTTTGTCCTGGTTAAAATGACAGGGACTGGATATTAGCTAGCTATGGCCAAACTTGGTGAAGTGCATTGTCTACTTTGTTTTCCAACTGGTACAAAAAAAACCTGTGAATTTGAAGTTAGGATTAGGAAAATATCCCCCTGTTATCATCCAAAACTGATTATATAGAGGAAATTTTTACAAGTAGAGGAGTCATTAAATTCTCACAAGATGGTAGGAAGGACCAAAGTGGTGCAAAACTGTCTCTTCTGGTAATATGTTGTACAAACTGCTTAGGAGGAATGACATGAAGAAATGAATGGAAGAGTATAATCTTAGAAAGCTGGATAACAAATGACTCTTCTGATGTAAATTATGAAATTACTGTGGCTAAACTGAAGAAATAAGCATCAAGGAAGCTGTTTGTGCTGGAAGGAATGTCCTGAGTAAGGAACACAACAGAATTGCAAATTTTGAAAATGTCCTGAGAGATAAGCAGACAGGCTGCTTATGCACCTATGCTGAGCACTTGAGTTGCACAAAAAGAAGCCTGAAGGAAGATTGGTACAAAGGAGTCTGTCTTGAGCAAAAGAGAGGATGTGATTTGAAAAGTGCTTCACCTAACCAGCCTTGTGTGTTGTATGGACACTGAAATTAGCTGAGAAACAGGCAGCTGAAGAGGTTGAGCTTCAAGTATAATCTGTAGAGACTTTGTCTGTCCATCAAACTGTTTCCAAGAAGAAGCATTTGTTCACTTTACTGGAATAAAGTGTGCCTTCAACTTCCAGCATACAGACGAGTTTATTTGTTGGCTCTCTTTCTGTGAAGATTCTAACAACTAATTAAGGAGCTGTGAAAGAAAAGACTTCAAGCTTAAAGCGAATTAAGAGTTCTGGAGTTGCTCACTTGAATACAAGATTCAGTATGGATGAGAGCAGACAAGTGGCAAGACATACAGAGGAGTTTGATGTGATAAATGTTAACTATTATTCCTCTTGCAAAGGCAAACTGGTGGAGAGGCCAGTTGGTATGGATGAATTCTATACTGCCACATGCACTCAGTTTTAAAGTAGAATAACTTCTATAGAAAAGAAAACCCGGAGTTTCTGATTTCTCTACCATTCCTGAAGTTGGAGGTGTTGAAGAATCATCAGTGTGTCAGACACCAGTGGTTTTAGCACTGGAGAGTTCACTGCTTTCTGGATGTTCAGTGGTAGTTTATTTGCTATAGGTGATAATTTTGGTGTTGCACTGCCAAAAAATGACAGAGCATTATGGACTGCAGGGAGTGCTGCAAGAGCAGCTCTGTAAATGTGACGCTGGCTTGTCAGCAAGTATCTACAGCCACCTCTACTGTTTGGCTAAGTTCATATGGGTTTTCTTTTTGTTTCTCAAATGGCCATTCTTACTGTCCACTTGTGTGAGTTACAACTGGAGCATACACAAGAAATGCTGCTGTTAGAAGTCTGCAATTTGCCCAGATTTTGTCTGGGCTGCACTGCAGTGAGTAACCTGTAAGGGTAGTGTTTGTAACATGCAGACCCTCATAGAACTCTTCTGGAATTTTCAAATGTGATATAGGTACATGAAGGCTGTGAAGTTGGACATTGAAATTCTGTCCCTTCTCAAAACTTTTAAAGCTGCAAGTAGCCTTGTTTGTTCTTTGTCATAAATCTGTACATGAAGTAGACTTTTAACTGGTGTGGGGGAAATATTTGGGAATGGAAT